CCAGCCCTGTGTAGATAGCTAGTCACCCAAAACAAAACCCCTGGAAGGCTACCGCCGAAGGGGTGGTTGCTTGCAATGACGACTTTGCACTGCGCAGCACACACGAGGCTCTGCCTTGAGTTTACGTACCCAGACTGCCGCGCTTTAAGTTACGTTAGCTTCTCCTAGTATTTCAGTTTTCCCCCGGAAAACTTTCACATGTTCAGATGCCGCTTTGTGCTGAATGCCTGTGGCAACCTTTTTCCTATTTGCTGATGCACATCAGCTATGAATTCCCAAACATTAAGAACAAGTGGGCTTTGGAAAAGGTTCTAAGAGTTTTTCTATGGACTTTGTGACAGCTAATGATCAGCGGGATTCAGAGTGGGAGTCAGTGTTATACCAGGAGGCCTAGCCAACTGCATACCAGTCTTTGAGAATAGCTACTACTTGGCTGTAAATTGTATTTTTGGCTCGCCATTCCACATACTCACCACTAGTTTCAGGGTCATTTTTAAATACAAATGTCTGCAGTGTGGATAGAATAATAAATTCACCTAAAAAATGTACAGAAAAGCTTTACTTTTCTCCTCCCTTTTTTCATTATGTGAAGTCACATAAAGGAAAACTGCAATGCTCCATGAATTGTTTATGGAGCCAATAAAGGAACCAGCCTCTCAGTCCAGATTCATGGACTCACCAATAACTTATATGGTTCAGAGGTTTAAAAACACATGGTCTCTGAAAACAGTCCTCCAGCACCAAGCTCACTGTGGGCATGGATCACGGGGCTCCCACACGGAGTCTGCCAGGCACGAAGTGCAGGATCACTACCAAGCGGCTGGGCCGCTGTACTAGAGATCTTTAGCACAGGCAGGTTTTATAGCCTCCGATCTCAGTGATTTTTTTTTTAATTAAAATTTAGTTTTTATTTAAAGTTTTTAACCCTTTTCCCATTTGCCCTGAGATAATTCGCGGATTATAGTCCTATCCTTACCCTCAAAGTTTGCCATGAAATATCTCACTTTTATGACTATTTTCGCATCGCTCTAGTATATTCATAGTCTTTGGAAACAAATGACATCATTCTATTTATGACATTCTGTTCTTAGTAGTTCGATCGCTGAAAATGTCAAATCCTAGAAAACGTCGCATTCCTATGTGAGCTGCACTATTTTTTCATAAATGGGAAAAGGGTTAAACAGTTTCCATACCTGCCTTCAAGAACTGTACCATTATATCCTCTATAAACACCAACTAAATAGAATCAGATGTGCAGAATATAATTCAAAACAGCTGACTAATCCCCCAAATCAAGCTATTTTCAAAAAAATAGCTCTTTGGACTCACCCTAGAAACAGGTTTACAGACCTGTGCAAAGTTCGACCCAACTATAGGTTCCTTTTATCACAACATTTGGGTGCCGAATTCAATGTCAACACTGCTAAATGTTTTAAAGTGTCATATTTTAAAAATGGTTCCCAAGAGCACGATCTCCTACTCAGTAAAATTACTTAAGACCAAAGAACATTTGCATTTGAAATCTCTGGCTTGCCACATACAACCTACCCTTCTTATCTGTGGTAGTGTTCCTTTTTAAAATGAATAATATATTTAGCCAGGTTTCTAAAATCAGCACTGCACACCAAACAAAAAAAAACTCAGCCTAAAATATACTTTTCCTCATTAGTAATGAAGCCATTCTAAACAAATTAAGACTAAGAATGAAACAGAACTAGCAAAATGATCAATTCGAGTTGTTCGAACATCGATCAGGAAGAATACTCATAAGGTAGCCCATGGAAATTTGCTTGGATTACAAGTGTCAGTCTACGACAGCACTGAAGTACTAGTTCTCTGCAAAGAAAATTCAAATACATTTATCCAAGCACTGAGGGCAAAACATCTTCCTTAAAAGAAATGATTAGTCCTGCAATGCTCTACCACTCACTAGCTGTGTGAACTTGGGCAAGTAACTTAACCAGTGGTCTCCAACCTTTTTGGCACCAGGGACCGGTGCTCCCATGAGGATCTAATGCCCGGTGATCTGAGGTGGAGCTGAGGCGGTGGTGCTAGTGCTGGGGAGCGGCTGCAAACACAGACGAAGACTCGCTTGCTTGCCCGCCGCTCACCTCCTGCTGTGCGGCCCAGTTCCTAACAGGCCACAGACTGGTACCAGTCCGCAGCCCAGGGGTTGGGAACCCCTGACTTAACCTCTCTGTGCTTCCATTTCCTCATGAGCACATACCCCGACTGAAAAGGAATGTTATAAGGATTAAATGAAATAATTACCTTACACTTAGCCCACTGTGGGTGCTCAGCATCTTGGCACTGCCTTTACTGTTTCAATGATCAGATCGAAGCAATGAGACTGTGTAATAACATTAAAATCCTGTTCTGTTGGCATCCACTGTGTAGTCAGCAAACTCTTGACATATATCAGTGATTGGAGTCAACAGTGAAGATTTTTAAATCGTCCCAGAACTATTAAACGCTCAAACCAGTTTAAACTGAATGTCACGGTCAGTCATTAGGCACTTGAGTTAAATATAAGTGCCCTTTTTCTCTGCTAAAGTTATCAGTTATTTACTTAGAGGGCATGTAATTTAGGTAGGCACAGCACCATCCTATCAAAAAAGCTTAGCAACCATATATAATGAGTCACTTTTGCTCCACTTCATACATTAATACTAAGTTTAAGTGTGTCACATCCTCAAGATTCAGCACCAGCTTCTCTTTAAAAAGAAATAGTGTCATAACATATTGCCATGTAAAAGAAAGAAAAAGGGTCAGGCTGCAAAATATATGATCCCATTAATTGAAAACAAAAAGAGTGTGTGAATATGCATGTGTATAATATATATATTTGTACATGCATAAATTTAAAACACAAAAGTAGGATATATACAAAATCATTAACTATAATTCCCTCCAGCTCGTCTGATCAACAATACATTTTCTCTGAGTTACCTGTGTTTTTTAAACACTGACCATGTATTTCTTTTGAATATGAAATTAAACAACAAAACAAACATATTTTGGACCTTAAGAGTTCTTCTCCTTGTTTTGTTTGTTTTTGTTTTTTGCATAAAGAGATATCATAGAGTCATTTTTTGAGCATCTTAAACAGGAAGGAGAAAAACCTATTAACAGAAAAATCAAATGAGCTTTAAACTATTAAAAAACTATCAAAAACCAGAAAACATCAAGTACTGGCAAGCATGTGGAGGTGGAGAAACTGGAAATCTTATGCATTGCTGGGGGGAATATAAAATGGTGGTAGCTGCTGTTGAAAACAGTATGGTGGTTCTCCCAAAAATTAAAAATAGAATTACTCTATGATCCAGCAAGCCCACTTCTGGGTATATACCCAGAAGAAATCAAAGCAGGGTTTCAAAAAGATATTTGTTCACCCATGTTCACAGCAATGTTATTCACTATAGCTAAAACATGGAAGCAACTCATATTTTAGCAACCCAAGTATTCATTTACAGATGAACAGATAAGGAAAATGTAGTATATACATACAATGGAATATTATTCAATCTTAAAAAGGAAGGACATTCTGCAATATGCTACAACACAGATGAATCTTGAGGACATTATACTAAGTGTAAGCCAGTCACAAAACAACAAATACTATATGATTCCACTTATATGATGTACTCGGTATTCAAAATTTTAAAAAACAGAAAGTAGAACAGTGGTTGTTAGGGGGTGGGGGAGGAAGGGAACGAGCAGTTGTACATTGTTTAACGGGTACAGAACTGCAGTTTTACAAGATGAAGAGGGTTATGGAGACGGGTGGTGATGGCTGTACAACGATGTGCGTGTACTTAGTACCACTGAACTGTACACTCGAAAATGGTTAAGATGCTAAATTTTATATTATGTATATTTTATAAGTTTTAAAGACCATATATGTGTGAGTATGTGCTATGACTTAAGAACTATATAAGCTACGATTGGATTTTTATATCATATGTATTATTAAACATGCACAATAGCAAGAAATTTTTTTAAATATGCAAACATAGATAAAAACAGAAGTTCTAATCTTTTGTTCCTATACCCTAATGGTACCCCTGAGGAGGCCCAAATCCTGAGATCTGACGTGCACTGAATGGTGATGTCTTTTTCCAGCCCAGGTCCCGCTGTGCACAGAGGAGAGAGGAGAGGCAGCAGTGGCCAACCGCTGACATTAATTTGCCTCTCTTCCGCCTTTCCCTTCTCTTGCATTCCAGTGTTTAATCCTTCTCCAGGGTCTCAAGAATATTTAATCCTAACAAAGTCAACTATAACGAATTCTTAGCAAGTAGCAAATCCCAGGCAAGTTTAGAGAGAGACTGAGATGGGAACTGGATGTAAATGCTACTCTCCAGCACCATGGAGATCCTTGAAAAACTATTAGCAAAATTTGAACTAGAATAAGGTTTACCAGATAAGTCTCTTGGGTGCTTAGAAACGAAGAGAACCCAAAGTCTTAAAAACACTGCTTATGCAAAAACCTGTGACAATGAACTAAAAAACTTAAGTCGAATCTATAACAAGACTGTAGCGGGAGAAGGTGTGTGGCTAGCCAGCTGCTGCGGACAGGCTTACCTTTAGTATTTCTGGTTCTTTGATATCCAGAGATCTTGTGTTCCAGTGTTGTTGATTTTTACGTAGTCTGTGATATTTATGAGCACTTGGTGGTGTAAAAAACCAAATCATGCAAACCGCAGTCATGAATCCCAGGCCGATTCCCAGAAAGAGTCCACTTGCGTAATGGGGGAGGGGGAGGATGAGGTACGCATAGACACACAGTATAAAGAAGGCCAGCGTCTTCACCGGTAACTCCGGGTGCTGCATGGCTGAGTCTACCTCGTCGTCACTGTCAAGAGCCGGCCCATCGTCCGCCAGCACCTCTGGCTTGAGAGGCATACCTAGGACCTTTTCATCTTTATTCTCCCCCTCCATTTCCAAATCAAACTCCTCAGTGTACAGTTCACAAAACTCTTCATCTTCTTTGCTCACTAAGGCAGACAAAGAACATTTCTCAAGGACTAGAGAACTTGTCTTCAGGCCTAAATCCTTCAGGCTGCTCACCTGAGAACTTTTCGGTTCCGCCTCTCTCGCGGGCTCATCGGTGGACTTTGGGTGGTCACTTCTGGGGATGCTGGGATCGTTTCCATCGCCATCCCCCTCGGAATCACACTCCTCTTCCTTGATGCTGTAGTTGTTATTGCTTTCCAAGTGACCATTCAAGCTGGACAGATTGGAGAGTTCTGAAGCACTTGAAGATAAGGCTTTGGGCCTATGGCTGCCACTTTCTTCCCCCATAATTTTACTAAAGAGCTGAAAAGGCTCGTATATGACTTCTGAAAGGCGTCGCTTAGTGTCTTCGATTTTAGCCTCCATTTCGGGCACTTTAAAAAAGGAGCGCGTATCGGAGGGAGAAGTCAGTGGGGAAGAAGGTGCGGTTTTGGAATCTCCACCTGTGTTTCGTGGCTGTGTGAACTGCTTGAACAGGTGTAAATTCAGCTTGGAGTCAGGCGGTTTATAGGACACAGCATCTGACTCCTGCTTGGAAGTGTCTGTGGACAGAGACTTGACTAATGTCTTCATCAAGTGCCTGTGCCTTGAGGGGTGTGAGGGTTCTTTTGGCTCCACCTCAGTTGACAGGGACTTCACAAGGCTCATGAAGGGCTTTGAGCTGGAAAGGGTGGAGGATGAGGCACTGGATGAGAGGACAGGAGACTTGGAAGGAGAGGACAATGGGGAGGAAGAGCTGGTTTTCTGCTCAGAAAGAGATGACACACTGGGAGAGCTAGCTAAGGGCCCCGATGAAGACGACCCTGGGGACAGAGCCAATGGCACTGTACTTAATACTTGCACTGCTGGAGGAGGGGACTCCAACAGCTTTACAGTGTTCTCGGAGACGAGCAAAATGGCAGGGGACTCAGACAGTCCATCTGCCAGGATGGGCTGGGCCACAGGGCCAGTGGGGTCATGGCCACCCCGAGGTTCAAGATAGAGGTCTTCCTTGGCTTCGAGCCCCGTTACAATGCTTTGGTCGTCCAGCCCCTCCTCAAGATACTCCTCCTCCTCTTCCTCCTCCTCCTCCCCGGATGCCGAGAAGTGGATGGCAATAGTGTCTCGGGACACGGACCTCTGCACGTGCACTCTGGGGGCTGATGGTTTTGGCATGTCAATGGTTTTTTCGGCATGGCGACCATTCAGACTTGTCATTGCCAGCTTCACAAGGGCTTAGGCTCTGTGAGAACAACAAGAAAACCAGAAGTCAGAAAGTGGTTTCTCCCCAGGAGACACTGTCAGGTACAGACAAAACTCACTTATAAACGGTGATTATTATGCTTTTACTTGGCAGATGGCCACTGTCTTTCACTTGAGTAGGTTTAATGGTTTAATTTTCACCAGATACATTCCAGTTAAGCATCCTCTTTTATGAGCAAACTACAAACCAGTGTTAAAAATGCCGTACAATCTGTCTTCACAACATCTGAGTAATCATTTCTTCCCTCTTAAGTGGCTCATTTCTATAAGCAATTCTATATTTCAAGGCTTGAAGTATCTGCACAATAGACGTTACCAGCATTACTTCAGAAGTCCGACAGAATAAAATGCAGCATCCTGGTGATTCTGAGAAATCTTGAAACAAAAATGTCACCAGTGGTTTCCTAGCTATAAAAAGCTAACCCAGGAGGGTTCTTGCTTCCATTGCAATTTTCACAGCAAACCTAACAATCACTTGGCTCGTATCTTCCACCAACACTTATACTATCTTGCTACTGCAAGTAAGTAGCAAAGTATCCAAGAGTGGAAAAGGAAATATGTAAACTAATTACTATGACCTGTTGGCTTCTTTATTCTGGAAATGGTAGTTACCGTAAGACCAGAGAATTTAGGCAGCCACGAAGACATGGCTATGTTCTGAGGCTTCAGGATAAAGCAAAGTAATATTTTAAACTGAATCCAAGATTCACAGGGCAGGAAAAAAATGAAGTATCAATGCTGTAACCCACAACCAGCCGAAAACTCTAAAGGCTATGATGAGAGACAAGGAAGCTACACTTGCTGCCCTTCTGGAGTTTAGGAGTTAGCTGGAGAGAGGACAGACACCTGAAAGGCCGGACGTCAAAACAAAAGACACCAAGCCCACTTTGCGAGATCTACTATATTACCTCTCTCCCTCTTCACTTAAGGCCCATTTACTGGACACCAGGCATAATAGGCCCTTTACAAAACTGAAATTAACACCACAATCTGGAAAGAGACCCTGTCAAAAGAGCTAAAACACACCTGAAGAGTGGACTTCAGGCATTCTGAGAAGGGTGAGACCAGTGGGGAGGTAGGACATTTGCTCGGTCTTTGAAACTGATCGATAGGTTGTGGCGGAATGGGTATAATTAGAAAGAAGGGTCAAAGGCACGAAGATGAGCGTGGACATGGTGAGTCCTGCGACACAGGTCTATTTTCTACCTCCAGGTGGGTGTTGGGCAGCAGTGGGAGACCATCAGCACTAGACAGGCATCATGGGAGAGTGGAAAGTACAGCCTTGGGACCAGGAAACAGGGCTTCTGGTACGTGCTTCTTTTCCAGTTGACTCTGTGGGACCTTGATCAAGCTAAGACCGCTGGGTCTCAGACTCTTCCTCTGTAAAATGGGGGATCAAGAGTCCTTTCCAAATCTAAAACCCTCATGTTTATATGTGGTTGTTCACAATCCAATATAATACACTTATACAAGTAATCTACCAACATCATGGTGCTTGCTTGTTTCTTTAATTTGAAGAACTTCTACATTTAAGTTTTTCTGCCAAATATTCATGTTCAAAATGCTGGCAACTAATACTACTAACAAGAGAAAAGATAAATGGGAAGCAGGAAACAGTGACCTTAAATCTAGAAACAGGAAATAACCTAACAAAGAGAAGAACTTCAGTTCAGTCATAACAAGGACACATCTGAAACCACACATTCTCGGTATCAATGCTTCAGAGAAATTACTTTCATAAAAACTTTCCAACAGAGTTTTGCCCATGCTTATTCATGACCCCCAGGCTCTCCTATCCCTACTAGATCCAGGAAAAGAGAATGATCTCTATCTATCAGGCAAAGCAATTTAAATCCAGGAGCTGGCAGCTGCTGAAGGAGGGGATCCAATAGCTTTGCAATGTTCTGTAAATCCAGAAAGACAAGGCAAGCTAGAAAGACATAGCATTCCAGGACAATCCTTCTCTGTTATCTTTAAGCCAACAGGTTTGTAGGCTTAGTAAGAAAAAAAATACCGAGTGCAACACATAGTTTTCATTTAACTGTCACCTAGTTTTATAGGGGTAATTTAAAAAGAAAATTATAGAGGTAATTTTTTAAAAAAAGTTTGGTACTTGATAATTCTCAGTAGGCTGAAAAACAAGCATCATTTAATTGCTTTAATAACATAAAGGATGATAAGGCTGCTTCACGGGTAGTGGTGGCTGCAAGCGAAGGTGACCGCGGGCACAGGTGCAAATACAGAGAGCACGATTTGGGGGCTGAACGGTATGAGCTGGTCCACCAGTGAGCAAGGCAAGGGTGGTGGGGCCCATCTGTAGTTGAGGGTGGGATGGCCTGGGAATCTTCAGGCAAAATCAGGTCCCGTCCAGGGCCAAAGGGCGAAATGGCAGCACGTCCCAAAGCCTGCAGTCTGAGCAGCCAAGCAAGACCCCAAGGAAAAGTGAGTGGCACCTCCCCAGGAAAGGCCACCAGGGGCCTACTGGCCCAATCCTCCCCCATCCAGTCGGGCCCCCTGACTTGCTGGTTTAAAGGACCTCTGCAGATCTCTGACCAGACTCTCAAGGCTGTGTCAGCCAACAATGCCTATGTCAGTCAGCTGGGCCCCATGGAGAGCTGGGTGCCTGGTAGCCAGCTGGGATAGGCAATCTGGCCCACCATCGCTAATGTCCTTCTCCAAGGCTCAGGCAGTAGATTCAGAGATTGAGAGTGAACTCCCCCAAATCCACGCTGACCAAAGCCTGCCTCTACTCCATTAATTTTTTTGTTTGTTTTTTTGTTTTTTGTTTTTACTAAAACCTGCCATATGATGCTATAGCAGTCCCACTACTTTTTTTAAATACAAGAAAATCTCAAGGCTCTGTTTGATCATCTGCAAAATGAGGGGATTAGACTAGATAAACAAAGGCTGCTTCTAGGACTAAAACTGCTGGATAATTGACGGAGTCCATGGTTTGGGTTCTAGATGATCCACTGAGTCACTCCCTCCTCCTCCTAGGGACAATTCCAATGCCCGTCCTCTCTGTCCTCCCAATGGCTAGCTGCCAGGACCAGCAAAACTGACCCACAGTCACAGACTTGGAGGACAACCAAGGTCAAGAGGAAAGAGCACCTGACTGTTGCTAGGAAGATTACACAGTTTGTCCGTGGCCACAGCACTGACTGAGGGGGAGCTTCTAACACTGATGTCCTGGTGCCTTTCCCACCAGAGCAAGCAGCCTCCTCAAGCATGTCACGCATACTCTTTATTACTGCTTTGTCCTGTTGGTATCTGCCCTCTGTGTTCCTTCATGAACAGTTCTCCCAGGAGCTAAGAGTTTTGTTCTCAAGAATCAACAAGTGACCAAAATGCACTAAAGAGTCTCATTATCCATCTGACAGTCTAGCATCACGAAAAAGTAACCGGCCTCTTGCCTTCTACTAACCAAACTCAATTATAACCAGGCGAGAGACAGAGAGAGAGAGCAAGAGAGAGAGAGCGAGAGAGAGAGAGGGAGCGAGCGAGAGAAAGACAGACTGACCACCTTATCCCAAGCCTTCAGGAACTGAAACGCCAAAAAAGGAAATTTCCTTCCCAATAGGTCTCCTTCTTCCAAAGCCACCAGCAGACCACTAGTCCTTGGGTTTAACGATGATTTTGAGTCTTGTGAGGGGAGAGCCTATAGCTCACATTGTCACATAGGATGATTTCCTGCCAGAGATACGTTTAAGCAAAAGTCTGATTTGGTCAAGATCAAAATGGTGCTAAAGATTAACCACGTCCAGCCCCAAAATGGATGGGAGTGGCAGAGGAAACAGTGACAAACTGAGGCCAGAGGTCTGGTGTCTGGGAAGACAGGCTCCATGATCTAGCTCACCATTCTGCTGAAAACTACTAAAAATAAATTCAATGGGAACCCAGAGATATGAGCTCTACAGAAACAACCTTTGCCCTCAAAACACTGGCTGATTCTGGCAATTTGGAACTTTCATGTTAATGATCTCCTGAGCAGAATAAAAGTCCAGGGCTGGCTGAGGCAGAGCACTAACTGGAGACCCTTCCACAATGAGCTAGGACCCCAAAGGGCTACAACTACTCAGTTATAGGTGATCCAGAAGCAAAACAGCCCTCACTTACATTTGAGAACTCTCCTCAGAGTTCTCATTATGCTAAGTGAAATAAGGCAGTCACAAGATGACAAATACTACATACAATTCCACTCGTCTGAGGTATCTAAAGTAGTCAAATTCATATAAACAGAAAAATAGAATGGTGGTTACCAGGGGCTGCGGGGAGTGGGAAATAGGGAGTTGTTTTTTAATGAATATAGACTTTCAGTTCTGTATAATGAAAAAGTTCTGGAGACTGATCACATATCAATGTAGATATACTTAACACCACTGAATTGTCCACTTAAAAACAGTTAAGATAGTAAATTTTATGTTATGCATATTTTACCACAATTAAAAATAAGAGATTTTTAAAATTTCATCATTCAAAACTTTACAATTAAATAATATAACCTTTGAACTACTTTTAATTCAATTAAAACAATTCTATTTAAAAAGCACACATTGTTCTTCAGGTTACACTACCACGTGGTTACATTCTAAGATAATAAATACAAATATATTTTTGCTCCTATAGCTTTAGGGGGAAAAACGCTATTTAGAACCAAATGCTTTCTGAACCTTAGCCTTAGCAGGTATGTTTCTGGGAAGCATGAGCTCTCAAATTGTTCTGTCGATGTGTCTTTCCTAAGGTCTTGACTGTAACTCCCCATTAAAGTTACTATGCCTTGTAAAGATGTTTGTTGCCCTAAGATTGAGAAAACCTCTAATACGAGTTTCTCTCCCCAGCATCTATGCAGGATCTATTCCATCCAGTCTAAAAAAAGGAACAAAACAATGGCTCCCATTTCATCTGAACTCATGAAAAACAAAGGCCTCAAACAGAAAGCCAGTAGCCAGTTGCCCTCACTATCATGAACTCCAAAAAGGC